ATTGGGAAGGCAGGAAAGAGAGACAAAAAAGAGAAGCAAGTTTGTAGAAGAAAGTTTCTGGGAGCAGGATGTCACGAGAGAATTGTTGCTTAGAAGTTTGGGAAACCAAGTCAAGGATACCTGAGCTAAGAGTTAGGACTGATAAGAATAATAATAATGATAATAATAAATAAAAATAATAATAGCTAGCATTTATGTAGCACCTTAAGGTTTACAAAATGCTTTGTAAATATTAACTCATTTGGTTCTCACAACAGTCCTGGGAGGTCAGTACTATTATTATCTTCATTTAACAGATGAGGAAACTGAAGCAGACAGAGTTGAAGTGACTCACCCTGTGTGTTACTCTGGTCCTCCAACTAGTAAGTGTCTGAGGATGTCTTCTGACTTCAGGTCCAGAGCTCTAGGACTAGGAAATGGAATTGGAGCTACAACTTTGCCAGTGACCAAGGGAACACAGGAAAAAGTTATGCTTGGGTCAGAATTAGAAGTAAGGTGAAATAATCATCTGCCAACCTAACTGATCTCCCTAGCTCTCAACCCTTCCCAACATCTTCAATTAGTGCATCATACCAATGTTATCATTGTTTGTCCTTCATTCTTGAGGGAGGACCAATGACCTGAGGAAGGTAATGTTTTCACTTGCAAGTGAAGTGGATTTAAGTGAGGCAAGGCTGTGCAAAGTCACCAGCCTCACTCAGTCCTCCAGAGCCATCTGAGTTCAGTAGCAAGACCTAGATCAGGAATCTAGAGATGGCTTTCAAACCAATATGATTCATACTAATGTCCAAGTAATGTTCCTAATGCATAGGATTCAACAGGTTGCTCCCCTGCTAAAAAAGTGAAACAAAAATACCTTCTGGGGTTCTTCATTGCTTAATAAAGAAAATGAAGATTCCTAAGTCTGACATTCAAGGCTTTCCACAATTTAGCTCCAAGTTGCCTTTCCAAAAATATTTCCCAAAGTGTTCCTTTTGCCTATGCTCACCTTTAGCCAAAATGAATTCCATGTTATCTCTCTAGTTCATCATACCTCTATGACTTTGTCTGCCATCACACATGTGTAGAGCAGATTCCATCTTTCTGTCAAAATCTTTCCCTTCAAGACCCCATCAGGTGCCACCTTTTCATGAAGATTTCCCTGATCCTATGAACTACAAGCAATTCCTCCTTTCATGAATCCTTCAGGCCACTCAGATATTCTTTAGCTAATTATTTGTGCACACATTTTATCCCCAAAGTGGATTGTAATGGCATTGAGGGCAGAAAATATGTCTTTTCCCCCTTTCCTTTCTAAAAATTCTGACTCAATAAGTGCAAAGGAAGTGAGCACTTCCACCTAAGAAATGATATTTCAGCAACAACTTTGCCAGTGACCAGGGGAATACAGGAAAAATTTTGCTTGCATCAAGATTAGAAATAAGGCAGAATAATTATTTGCCAACCTAACTGACCTCCCTAGCTCTCAACTCCTCCCTCCATCCATTTTTTTTTACAAAGTGGATCATAAAAAGAAGATAGTATAAAATAGTGAATCTCTATTCCATACAGCTTGATTTTAAATATGCATATATATAATATATATAATAAATTCAACATGATACTTTTAAAACTGTCCAGTTTGTGTAAGCTTCTTTCTGAACTTTCTTCTTTTCTTTTCTGTATTTTTTTACATTTCATTTTCATTTCACTTTTTTCTCAATGATACATAAACAAAAATTTTTAACATTCATTTTTTAATGCAGATAGGATACTATTTTTATTTTTTGTTTTTTAATTTTTTTCTTGTGATTTTTCCCTTTTATTCTGTTTCTTCTTTCACAACATGACTAATGTGGAAATATGTTTAATATGATTGCACATGTATGTATATATAAAACTTACATCAGATATCAGATTGCTTGCTGTCTTGGGAACAGGGGAGAGGAGGGAAAGGGAGGGAGAAAAATTTGGAATTCAAAATCTTGTAAAAATGAATGTTGAAAACTACCTTTACATGTAATTAGGAAAAAAAATATTATTTCCTATAAAAATCATGCATTTAAAAAAATTCTGAGTTCCATACTCTCTCCTCCTTCCATCCCTCCCCCTCCTTAAGAAGGCAAGCAATTTGATATAGATTATACATGTGCAGTCTTGCAAAATATTTCCATATTAGCCATATTGCAAAACAACAACAAACACAGACCAAAAAACCCCAAGAATATTAAAGAAAGTTTAAAAGTATGCTTTGATGTGCATTCGGATTCTATTACTTCTTTCCCTGGAGGTGGATAGCATTTTTTCACCATAAGTCTTTCAGAATTGTCTTAGATCATGGTATTGCTAAGAATAGCTAAGTTATTCACAGATGATCATCATGTAATATTGCTCTTACTGTGTATAGTGTTCTGGTTCTGCTCATTTCACTTCGCATCAGTTTATGTAAGTCTTTCCAGATTTTTCTGAAAGCATCCTGCTCATCATTTTTTATAGCACAATAGTATTTCATCACAGCCCTATATCACAGCCTGTTCAGTCATTCCCCAGTTGATGGGCATCCCCTCGATTTCCAATTCTTTGTCACCACAAAAAAATCTGCTAAAATATATCTGTACATATAGGATCTTCTACTTTTTTTTTTAATCTCTTTGGGATATAGACCTTGATATTGCTGAGTCAAAGGGTAGGCAGAGTTTTATAGTTCTTTGGGCATTCTTTGGTGTTTTAAAAAAAATATGTTTTTGTGTCTCTTTTTTTGGGGGGGGTAGGGAGACACCACCATTGCTAGTCCCCCCTCCCAATTTTGAAAAGAGAAAAAAATCCCTTGTAGCCAATAAGCACATCAAGGAAAACAAATTCATACAAGAGCTAAATCCAAAGATACGTGTCTTCCTCTCCCTTGAGTCCATCACCTCTCTGTCAGGAGGTAGACAGTGTGCTTCATGGGTCCTTTGTGGACAGGGTAGTTCTTTACTCTGCTGAGAGTTAGGTCTTTCAAAGTTGTTTTTCTTTATCTTGTTGTTATTGCTTAAACTATTTCCCCGTTTCTGTTCACTTCCCTCTATATCAGTTTATATATCTGGGATTCTCTGAAAACATCTTTCATTTTTTCGTAGGCTGAAACAAATGTTCCATCACACTCATATAGCACAATTTGTTCAGCCATTTCTTAACTGATGAATACCCCTCCCTAAATTTACTGTCTTTTCTTTTTTCTTTGTAATCCTTGCTTCAGGATCGAACCTCCAAAGTTAAAATTTGTTTTACTCGTGACTACAGAATGGAATAGAAAAAGGACAAGGGTCCTTTTTGTTTTTTTATATACAGTGTACCTAGCGTGAGGCCACATATATAGTAGGCACTCAATAAATATTTGTTGAAACAAATATCCAGTCACCGGGTTTTTTTCCCCTTCTTCTTCAAAGTGACTTATCCTTCCATGCCTCTTCACTCCCTTGACTGCAGTTCTAGCCCAGGCCCTGAACCATATCAAACTTTGAACATTAGAATAGCTTCCTACTCTGGGTTCCTCTCCTTCTGTGGACAGTTGGATTTTTCACACTTTTTAAACAATGCTGTCATCTAGTCACTTCCTTTTCTCAAAAAGAAGTTCACTGACTGCTGTCCCATCTCTAAGGTTTATGACTGATGATGTCTTTTAGTCTAACTCCTTCTGTTTTTGTTTTGTTTTGTTTTGCTTTTTTTTTTTAAGTTTAAGGATGGCCTTAATTTTTTAAAAAAGTCTTTAGGACTACAAATTACAAAGGAAGCAGATCACTACAATAGAAACCTATTAGAAACGTAATATCTACATATGAAAACTTAACATACACTCCACTTACAAGACTATCAGTTATAATGCTCTTCCTTCTAAAGCTATTAAAGTTCCAACTCCTTCGTTTTGCAGATAAGGAAATTGCAGCCCAAAGAATCAAGTGATTTGCTCAATGTCACAACGTAAGTGAATAACAGAGCAGGGATTTAAACCCAAGGCCTCTGACTTCAAAATTCAATGATCTTTTCACTATCATCTGTTTCCATAGGAAATAAAATATAAATTCCTCTGCTAGATTTTTCGAGCCCTCCACAATAGAATCTCTTTCTTTATGTCCAGATGGATTTGCCATTGCTCCCCAAAACAACCTTCTACTTTTTTGAGGGTGGAATTATTGGGCTTGTGATTCATGTGTATAGAAATTGGCAACTACTCCGTACCATAGTGTCTTAGAGGGTTGCCTGCGGGGTGGAGAAATTCAGTGACTTGTCTAGGGTCACACTCAATATGGATCAGAGGCAGGTCCTGAACCTCTGTCTTTCTTACTGAAATAAAATATCTTTTACTATTATCTCGCATACTGGACCAATTAGCTAACTTGCCATTTTTATATATTTAGCGTTCTGTGGAGTATTTTAAAGGAGAATAGAATCACTACTTTTTTATGGTTCAATAAAAGGGTTAGAATGTAAGAACATCTTCAAGGTCACTGGAGGCATCTTTGGTACAACTCCAATAGAAGATAGGACAATAGGGATTTTGTGTATCTCATCCTTTTCCCACATGATTTTGACTTTCTTGGTCAGATCTCTATACTTTGAAAACTTTTTGTCCCATGAAGAATAAGATTATAATGATATTAATTATTGTTGTTATTGTAATTATTTTTATTAGTATTGTTATATACTACATTACATATAATACATTAGTATTGCTATATTAGGCAGCTTGTTGTCATGTCAATAGAACTCTGCACTTGAAATTAGTAAGACCTGTATTCAAATCCTTCCTCAGAGATCTATTAGCTTTGTGACCCTGAGCAACTCACTTAACCACTCTTAGCCTTAGTTTCCATGCCTGTAAAATGAGGACAATAATAGCACCTACCTCTCATTGTTTTCAGGAAGATGAGATAATATATGTACGGTACTTGACAAATGTTAAAGTGCTATATAAAATTATCTATTACAAGGATTATTTTCTTACTTCATCTTTAAGCATATGTGATTTCATCTCTGAGCAGGTGTTCCTTCTGTGCTGAAGCAGAGAGTTCTTCATGGATTTCTATTGGCTGGAAAAATTCATTACTTGGTCTGAACCCAGTTAGATTGATCCTTGGATAAGCAACATGTAGTAAGTCCCCTTTCTACACTTTCCTGATCCTTTCAGCTTGGTAGGACCTTCCAGCAATAGAGCTCTGTTGGCAGAGCTTTAAGCATCCAAAATCATCTCCATGCAATAATGAGGTATCAGAAAAGTACTTCATTCTCGCAAGACTTAATAACAATGATAATCGAGAAACAGGGCAGTGGTGCCTGTGATACAGCCTAGCCTCCTGACCATGAACAAGGCACTTGAACTCTAAGTACCCCAAACAACTCTAAGTTATAGGCAAGCTGCCAATCTGCATTGGTGGAGGGAGTGTCCACACTGGGAATTATCTACATTGATGAAAAGAAAGATTACAATATTCCCCCAAGAAACAAAATGAAACCCCCATCATCATTGTAGCTTAATAGACTGATATGTTGGGAAAGACTCAAAACTGGTGGACTTGGCTGGTACTGAGGATGAATTCCTTCAATAACGTCACTGAAAAATAGTTATTCAGTGTCCTCTTGAAGATTTAATATTAATGGGAACTTTAAGCCTCCCAAAGGCAGTCTTCACAATGGCTATGAGTTTATAATGCTCTGTATGGCATTTTACTTGGTTCAGTCAAGTGAACTAAATAAGAAACAAATAAGCAGGTCTAATTTCTAAATATTAATCAGAATGCCCTATCTTTGTTCCATCCCACTTATGATCCAAAGAGCTCCAAGCACCCTCTTTTCATTTTTTTAATGTAAATGAAGATTCAATGTTTAATTTCTGACTAATTTTCATTTTCCTTTCCTTAATGACAGTAATATGATCTGGAAAATATTTTTTTCGCTGATGCTGTGCATTCTTCCAGGTAAGAACATGCTAACTTTCTAAGGCTTTTGGCATCATCTCACTGACTCCTTCAAGTCTGGGTGTTATAAACATCCCCCTGCTTGTCAAGACGTAGACACTGACCTGAGGCAATTAAAAGAACCTTTAGTCTCCAAGCAACATTTAGTCTCACAGATTTCCCAACATAATTCTTGATTCAATTCAAAAGACATTTATAAAGTGCCTATGATGTTCCAGGCACTGAATTTACAGACAAAAAAGGAACCATCTCTTTGCTGAAGTTGCTTATGTTATACTGGAGAGATAGAACACATAACAAGTAAGCCAACAAGTTAAATTTAAAATAGTTTAATGGGGAAAGAGTGCTAATACCTGGGGATTGGGGATGGGGTGGGAGTGGGGATTAGGAAGGTCTCACATGGGAGGTAGAAACTGAGCTGTGTACTTTGAAGGAAGCCAGGGATCCCATGAAAGGAAAATGAGGTGGGGGAGGGTCTTTCAGATATGGGTGCAACGGCCTGGAAGTCAATTTTTGTAGTTAGAGAGTCTGAACATGAGTTTCCTACTGCTCCATCTTTCAAAGACTTGGCTTTGCACTGATGCACCATGGCGCTGGTGAAAAGAGCATAGATTTTTTGCAACCTCCACCTGTACAGATTCTGGGCAGGTTCTGAGAGTTGTGGACTGCAGTTACTCTTCTTAGTTGGGGGGGGGCGGCTGCAGGTGTGGAGTATCCCCTCCCTCCCCACCAGTCAAAATTCTCTGTCCACTCCCCAGCCTGTGATTACATTCTTTAGCTATTCAAGGACTTGTTGGTAGCACAACAGCTCTGGTTCACCGTCAGCTCCTTCCTGCCCTTTCCTTGAGACTTGTAGCATCATTGAGATACCACTTGAGACAGTGGTATCATTTAAGCCTTTGGCTTTGAACTCTACTCCCAGTTCCGACTTTTTTGGTTTCTGTCATTGCCCTTTCTCCCAATGCCTATTTCCTTCCTATTAGAGCTGATAATGTGTCGTTTCCTGGTGTGATCTTGGATTTGCATGCCTTTCCATTTTCCCCCCTTAAAAATTTTAAAATAATTATGTGATAATTGTAAACTTTATAATGTTTGATGTTTATTATTATAAAAATAGGACAACTGTGCAGTCATTTAGGCTAAGTGGGCCTAATACCCGTAAAATATACAGGCAAAGACAGACAAGGTTGTACTTTTCCACTGTTCTGATCTTTGTTAACCCTGGGTCAGGTGGTTAATGGTTGAAACTTCTGATTGGATAAAACTCCTGACCACCTGCTGTAGTCTGAGTCATTCCCCTCCTGCTGCCTCAGAGTGTCAACTGGGACCTTCTCCCAGTTTCTGGTTGCAATAAAGAAATTCCCCCTACACAGAACTCACCCAAGCCTGGTGGTTATAAATGAGCCCAGAAACTTCTCTATCACATCTGGGTCTGTTGAAGAATGCTCCCTTCTCCACCATCTGCCATCGATGACCTGTTCTCGGCTGAACTCATTTTAGGGTGTATAACTTTGATACTTGAACCCCAATTTCTAACATGTTTCCTTCCTAACACACTCCCTCCCTCTTGTGCTGGGTGTTTCTTGCATCTATAGGGCCGAACCTCATATCTGTTTATTTTTGCCATACATGTATGTGGAGACTTTTTTTTTTGCCTGCTTGTTTGTTTGTTCTTGTGTGTATCAGCTTTCCAAATGCCAATTTCCTATAAATTCCCCAAACCTAGCTCTTTGCTTTAATCAGATCCCTGAAGATAACAAGGAAATTACTGTTAAAGTTTTCTGATTCCAATTCATAGCCCTCCCTCCTCCTGTGGCTGCCCGCTTTCTTAGGCCCTAAGACCTCTGTTATCAAGAACTGTGCTCAGAGTTGTTCTGGGCCTCCTCTGCAAAGACAGCTGGACTGAGTATCATGTTAAGCAGCCCCACACACTTGTGCCTTGCTCTCTGCTGACCCCACATGGGTATTTTTTTTTTACAGCGCAGCTCTACCTACGCTGCCATTTAATCCCTGGTGTACTGGTATAATTTACTTATACTGATGCTGGTGAGGCAGGATTGTGTATTTTTTACGGATAAATGCAAGTGAGTTTTCTTTTTTCCCTTTTGTATATCTGCCTCTCTCTCCCCCAATTTAGGTGCTAATGCCACAAACTCAGAGATTGGGGCTTTTTTCAATGAGACTGCAGACCTGCCCTGTGGTTTCAAGAATACTCAAAACATCAGCCTGGAAGAACTAGTGATATTTTGGCAAGGTGCCAAAGATGATGTTCTGTATGAGCTATATCGTGGAAGAGAGAAGCAAATCCATGTTCATCCCAACTACATTGACCGCACGAAGTATAACCAAACTGCTTGGATTTTATATCTCCTGAATGTTCAGATTGCGGACCAGGGGGAATATACATGTTTTGTCCAGTACCTTGGCCCCAAAGGATTAGTTATCATCCATCAATTGTCTTTTCAGCTGTCTGTCCTTGGTAAGTAGTCACTTATGGTTCTTAGGTGCTACCTGGTGAGGCTTATAAAAGCAAAGGCAAAGCAGAGAGATCTCTGGAAAGTCCACTGGAGGTGAATTCAGGAATTCAATTAAACCAAAAGTCCATGGTGCATTTTACCATTTGATGTGCAAAATCACTGAGAGTGTGTTTTGGGGAAATAAGCAGCCAAATGAACAAAAGTAATTGTGGCTAGATGGAATTCATAGATAGTTAAACAAATCCCCCCCCTTTGGCCAACAGCACAATTCATAACACCTCAGCTTGGTGTAATGCTTTACGGTCTTTCAGATCTCTTCGGAAGCAGTATTTTCAGTCCTTTCACCTTTCCAGATATGTCACTGGAGCTCCTAGCAAGTTGCACAATGGACTGATGTAAGACTTCTTTTCCACCCCCTGGTGGAGGTCTGATTAGCCTCTTGTGACCCAAACTGATAGCAACAGAAAAGGCATCTCTCCTGGGCAGAAGTTACCCATCTATAACTGGGGGCAAAGCAATAATTTTTAAATAAGATCTACTGATACAGCTCTATGCAGCATAAGTGACATTATAAACATTTTAATGATCTCCAGGAAACAAAAGGTATTATAATCTCCACCTCATAGGACTAAGCATTTAGAGCTGGAAGGGGGAACTATTAAGGGTTAGAGCACTGGGCTGCAACAGTGGATAGAGTGCAGGGCCCAGAATCAGGACACTTACTAGCTGTGTGACCCTGGACAAGTCATTTAACCCCATTTGTCTCAGTTACTTACTTACTCATAAAAGGAGCTGGAGAAGGAAATGGCAAACCGCTTCAGTATCCCTGCCAAGAAAACCCCAAATGGGGTCACCAAGAGTAGGACCCAATTGAAAATGATTGAACATCAATTTGGAGCTGGAAGAAATCTCTGAAGAGGGGAAAGAGAGCATGGAAAAGAGGATGGACATATTGACGGACCAGTTATTGCCAGTGGAAGACAGTCATTATCTAACTTATAAATCTGATCAATTTGACTTCTAGGGATAGAGGGGAGTGTGTGTGTGTGTGTGTGTGCGTGTGCGTGCATGTGTGTGTGTGGGAGAGAAAGAGAGAGAGAGATGTCTTGAGGTTCTACATTCTGAATTAAGGAGGAGTTCCTGCAAATTAGTTGATGATTATAGGTGTAGAAATAATTTGTTTGTTTGTTTGTTTGTTTGTTTTGGCTAGGCAATGGGGTTAAGTGACTTGCCCAGAGTCACACAGCTAGTAAGTGTTATATGTCTGAGACTGGATTTGAACTCAGGTCCTCCTGAATCCGGGGCCAATGCTCTATCCACTGCGCCACCTAGCTGCCCCCAGAAATAATTTCTTTGAAAAGGGAAAAAGTGAACTTAGTGAGAATAGGAAGTGAGAATATTATGAGACCAGTGAAATGAAACCTCTGGTGTCCTAGGCTAATAGTTTTCCACGAAATAGAAAATAAGACTCCCAGAGTGGTACTATTTATCAGTATATTCATTTCCTCACTAAGATGTCACTTAAGTCTGTCCTTTATCTTGTCATCTAGCCCTGTGCGGTGTATGAGAGGTAATAGGATGGATAGGGAGTGAATCTCAGAGTCAGGAAGATCTGGGTTCAAATCCTGTCTCTCTCCCCTCCCCCACCACTCCCCCACAATTCTATAAGACTAGAAGTTGTATAATAGTTGCTGATCTGCATTCAGAGAGGGAGCTTTCTCACTGGGAGTTCCCAGTGCTGATGAAATCACATATCTGGACCTCTCCCCCACCAAAAAAAAGTTTTTCGTTCTTCCATTCCTGAAAAGGACTGAGCAAAGAGGAGTTACTAGAATCCTAGGATCATAGTTTCAGAGCTGGAAGGGATCTTAGAGGTAATTTTACAAATGGCATAACTGAGGCCCTGGTCACATAGGTGGTAAGTAATAAAGCTAGGATTTGAATCCATGTCTTCTGACTCCCAATCCAGCACTGTTGTCATGGCAACATCAGTTATACATCCCAAATTATACTAAGAATCCCTATCCTCCCTTCTCTTTGGTCAGGAACGATTCTCTCCATTTCCCCCCCATCCCCCTATAGCTGCATCAAGGTTTGGAATGAAAGAAAAAAATGTTAGTGTCTCAATTCTGTTTTTAGCCCCTTTCAGTAAGCCTGAAATAACCCGACTCGACAACAAGACTGCACAAATTGGAGATCTACTGAATTTTTCCTGCTCTTCTAAACAAGGCTATCCAAAGCCTCGGGAGATTTACTGGATAGTAGAGGCTGAAAACTCAACCAGGTATTCTGGTGATATACATCTGTCCCAAGATGATACCAACCAGCTCTACAATGTTACCACTGCCTTATCTCTGCCCATTACTGATTCTACCATCTGGATTAACATCACCTGTTTGCTACAAACCCAGGGGCCAGTGGAACTCCTTACCTCCGAGACTCTGAACATAAGTAAGGTTCCTTTTTATAGGTCTATTCTTAATGGGTAGTAAACACAAACATTTAAGTTAAGATTATGGGTATTAAGTCCTGAAATAAATCGAGGCTGTGAGTTGGGGAATAAAGTGTCTTTAATTCAGGTAACAGGGTAGCAAACCTGTCACCCAGGGGGATGTCCCATGAGTGCAGAGCACAATAGATTTCCCAACCAAGAGACACATGAAAGGTGATTTATATATTTATGAATGAATAAACATTTATTTGTTTGAGAGAGAGACATTAGTATCCATGTAGCCCTTTCAGAAGATGAACAACTAGACTGAGAACTAGACATATATGCATACATGGAGAGTCAAAGATATGGAAAGAGAGAAGGAATCATTGCCAGACAAAAACACCAAAGGAGAGAGGGAACTAGTATTAAATGAAGACATAAAGGAATTGGCACTACAGAATTGACCTTACTAGTAACTTTGTTAGTACTGTGAACTATGTGGATTGTATACAGTTAACTAGTAGACCAACGAAATAGCTACCATAGAATAGATTTATTTACTCTGTCAGAAAACACAAAAAATATGTATTTGAACTGATAAACAACTCTCCCTTCTGTTGGGCCACACTTTTCCCAAGGATCTATATTGCCATTCTGATTTATAATGCCATCTTAGGACTGGTGTTTCCTTCTCCCCAAGCTCCCATTCAGAGAAAGAACTTGGAAATCAAGCAACCTTCCCATCTTCTCTTGGGACTTATACAATCCACATTCATTCACTCACTCACTCACTCATTTACTCATTCACTCATTCATTCATTCATTCATTCAAGTATTTCTGTGTTTAGCTTCTTTATTCTTTTTCTCTATGCTCATCATGATCTCTGAATCCAACTCTCTTTTTAAAAGGCCAGGTCTAAGGGTATAGCTCAGGTATGTGAATGAATCAAGAGCTTGAGTCATCACCAGAAAAAAGGTGTCAATGACGACTCAGAACAACAGAAATTTGCATGTTATCTAGGAAATCCATACATTAGCAGGAGATAGAAGACTTACCACCTTACCCAATTCCTTCTGAAGAATGCCCGTTAGCATCTACTACACGATAATCTTTTTTATTTTTTCCAGACCAAGCTATGATAGATATATTTGGTGTAAGGACCCACCAATGAGGAAACTAGGAATGCTGTATAGTACCTGCTATGCATTTTATAGTCCTAGAGATTTTCTTGGGGCTACATAGTCGATATGCATCAGAGATGGGAATTGGAGCTAGGTCTCCCTCGTTCTAAGTCTGACTCTCTCTCCACTTTACTCCATTGCCTGAACCCAATAATGCAAAATAGAGGCTGATGGAAAGTGTAGTTTTCCAAGCTGGAAAGAGGGACTAAAGCATAATAGGAAGTAGAAGCCATGTAAGACAGGGATTTGGGAATATTAGAGGTCCATGAAGCAGAGAGAGAGTTCTGGGAGTGAGGCTAGTGCTACTGATCCATAGGTTTCCTTTTGCCTCTCCCCCACTGTGTGGTTCACTCCTTTATAGAAAACACTGGCTCCTGATGTGATGAAGATCAGCTTATATTCATCTGGAGAAAAACAATTTTAAATGTACAGACAGTAAATAAACAAGATATAAAGAGAGCAGGGAAGTCCTAAGAGTAAGCAAAGCCAGAAGTGATGAGGTAGAGAAGGGGATATAAATGAAGAGAGATTAGAGTCACCAGGTCCCAATTTCAATGACAATTTATGAAAAGCAAAACTGTCCGGGAAGATCTCTCTTTAAGTAGGTCAGCCAGCCAGACAAGGTTCCAGTTGCTCATGATCATGTTCAATTCAGGCCAGCAGCAGCCTACCCTTGTAATTGACTGGCCATTGGTGCTGGCGAACATCTACCCAGGCCTCTCTCCTCAGGGCTCCAAAATGCCCAGGCTTTCTTCCTTGACCTCAACTTCCTCTCTGTAACTTCCACCTCCCATCATCCTTTATTTCCTGGTTCCAGCTGGGAAAAATTACACTTCTCCTCACCCCCTTTGTTTATAGGGACAATACTTAAATAACACTACAAGAGGTATCTTAAGATGATGTATGATAATTGCCAAATGAATTATTCTAATGAATGCTTAGGTATGTAGGGAACAAATAGATCACTGTGGCTTGGAGTGGTCCCTTTGTGCTCATCCTGTCTTATCTAAGAGGGCTGATGACATCATGAGGTTGATGTCTTGGCTTGCAAGTGAATTGGATTTAAGTGAGGCAGAGCTGCACAAAGTTATCAGTCTCCCTCCTCCAGAGTTATTGAAGTCCAGTGGTAAAACAAAAGACAAGACAGCTGGCTAGGGATGCAGTGGCCTTACTTGGCCTTACTCCTTGGAGTGATCAAGGCAAGGCCTTATGGAAGAGATACACTTGAATCAGGTCCTAGAAAATTACAGGATTTATATGGAGAGTATAAATGGGGTGTGTGTGTGGGGGGGAAATTTTAGGTGAATGTAATGGTTTGAAAAAGGTACAAGGTGAGAAGGTCCCTGTTTTGAAGACAGTGAATGTACCAACCTGGTTGGAGGTGAAGGTTCATGTCAAAAAAAAAAATGGAAGATGATATAGGGGCCAGACTATGGTGACCTTATATGCCAGGACAAGAAGCTTAAAATTTAACTTGTAGACTAGAGGGAGCCATTACAGTTTTGGGTGGGGGTGGCAAAAGTATGACATTTTGAAAGCATTTTAAGAGGGTTAGTTGTTTGGTAGCATACAGCGTGGGGTGGCACTAGAGACTGGGAGAACTGATTGGGGCTATTACAATAGTCCAGATCTGTGGTTATAAGGGCATGGGCAAAGGTGGTGGGAGAGGGAATAAAAATAGAGGGGTGAATCTGGAGAGTTTTTAGGACTTAGTGACTGAATATGGGGATGAGGAGAGACAGGGGAAGGAGAGAAAGAAATTCAGAACAACTTGAGACTTTTGCAATCAAGTGGTACATCTACTGTTAAAATGGATGCCATCATCATCTCTCCAAGTCTTAGGAGCTTGCCTGTGCCTACACTTTCACATACGGCTAAAAGATGGTCAAATCTCCAAGAAAGTGATGCAAGTCTTGCCCTGGCTTCACTGACTGTTGCTGCTGCTGGGCTATGTGACAAAGGGCCTTGGGACTTTCTGCATTGGTTTTCACTGTTTCTGGCTCTCAAGCAAGGAAGTAGCCCTGGGCAGATGACTACAAAGAGCAGCAGACTGCAAAGGTTTTAGAAATGACTTGACCTTACTGAAATTCTGTGATATTTTCCTTGTACAGAGAGGAAACCCTATGAAGAACCAGACAGCAACTTCATGATTCCTGGGCTGATAATATCAGTTGCCACAGCAGTTGTGGTTCTGATGATCATTCTCGGAGCGCCAAACTGGAAAAAATGTCCTCACTTCTGTGGTAAAAGAGGTAAGTGATTCAGACCTACTCAACTCACAACTTGCCTATTTACTTCTTTTCTCCTAGAATGTCGTACACTTCACGCATACTCTATTCAGCCATGTTCAACTCTTCATGATCTCATTTGGGGTTTTTTTGGTAAAGTTACTGAAGTGCTTTGCCATTTTCTTCTCCAGTTCATTTTACAGATGAGGAAATTGAAGCAAAGAGGGTTAAGTGACTTGCCCAGGGTCACACAACTAGTGTCTGAAGCCAGATTTGAACTCAGATCTTCCTAACTCGAGGCCTGGTGCTCCATCCACCGAGCCACTGAGCTACGTATTGCTTGGTAACTCATAGACCTCAAAATCAACAGATGAGTTCACATAAACTTTTCCCACTGTTTTAGTATCCAACTTATTGGAACAGCTCTAATTTAAACATCTCAGGAGGACAAAATGTCTAATATAATATCTATAAGTGAATCGGATCTATTCCATGAGGCTCTAGAAGGAAGAATTGAATGCCAAGAGGTTGAAGCTGCAGGAAGGCAGATTTCAGCTCTATAAAAGCAAACATTTCCTAACAAATCTGGCTAAAAATGCAATAGAGTGCCTTATGAGGTAATGAGCTGCCAGTTATTGGACGTTTTTCCAGTAGAAGCTGATTGACTATCTTCTAATGATAATTTAGAATGGATTCTTGTACTAGGTAGGAAGTGGTCCAGATGACCTCTTACAGTTCTCCCAAGTGAAACATTTGATTATTCTAAGTGCTATATGAGTTCATAAAGGGGAAGACAACATTGGATTAGAATAGTTTTCCTAACTATTTTCATCAAAGAAGTAGAACATGGGCCAAAACTTGAATAGGATTTTTTTTTTAATAAGCAAACATATCGAAGGGCTCAGGCAAATCAGGAGCCTCTGTAGCAACTAGTTCTTCTAGAAGCCAAATGACAGCAATGTTAGACTTTTGGCAATAACACAAAGGGTGATTCTGTGGGTGGTTTGGCTGACACTGCCTAATACCATGGAATCCACTAAGTCCCTTCTTCCATCAGTCTGCATAGGTGGGGAGAACAATGCAACTGGTTACAGAGTAGACCGCATCATGGAGGTGGGGATGACATGATTGCTTAGAACTGGGAATAAGGGATAGCAACAACTCCCTCCTTCCCCCTTGTGAGTAAGAAATGTTAATTGTTTGAGTCCACTTGAAAGATTAAAGGTAGTGGACCAGACTTTTTGGATGACAAACCTGACATCCTTGAAAGATAGTTTGGTGGCATGAAGATACTAGACCAGACTCCCTGGTGTCCACCTGCCTCCTTCGAGGGTAAGAGGTTTCCTTGACACAAGAATAGAACAGTGATTAATAAGAGAACTGGATTTCTAAACTTAACTCATTACATGACAGCTGAATTTCTGAACTAAGTTCAGAGACAAAGAATCATGACTTAGGCAGTTGCAGGACAAAATCCATTAACTGTAAATATGATAAATTAAAGAAAAACACAGAATCCATCTGATTATTTCACAGACTTGTGGCACTTCACTAGGGTTCTCCAGCCATTCATGAACACTTTGGAAATAAGGTTTTATACTCTCTAGCAAATATTTAATTACCTTCTCTTTTAAATTACTTTATTAAAAAGATAATCATCATACTAGTAACATCTTGAGAGACTTTACCAATGCCTTGTTTCAAATAAAAAACCACCAATAACATTAAAGATGAGCTTGACATGACTATCTTAATGAAGCTATTGGAGCCATCTCCAGTTGTCCTGATCTATATCTTTCCACTGGACCCAAATGGCTCTGGAGGAGAAAGTGAGGCCGGTGACATTGCACAGCTCTCCCTCACTTAAATCCAATTCACTTGCAATTGATGGCATCACCTTCCTGATGTCATGGTCCTCTTCGAGAATGAAGCTATGTTGACTCCCAAGAATCACCACATGCTTTTCAAGTCTTACAAACCAAAAATTTAATGATGTACTTTAGAAATTCCCTAGGGATCAATGTCAAACTTGCCATTCTGTGTTTTGCTGAGTCCATACTCTTTCCCATTTAGAAAATCAGGACATTTATCATTCTCTAGTCTTTGGGCAACTCTCCCATGCTCTATGATGACTAAGTTTGAAATCATATCAATGTCTTGAGTACCTTGTCATCTAATTAAAGGTGTTAGACTGTCTCTTCATGAACTATTCTTTTTACATTATTGTTCTATGCTTTTCAGTTTAAAGATTCTTCCTGGGGTTAGGCGTTAAATAAATCTGCTTTCTTTTATCCTGCAGCATCGTGTCACTTCTCTGCTCTAAAAACGTCAGTGACTCCCTATTGTCTCTAGTTCATATAGACTATTTGTGCCTTACCAGTGGTAGAGCCTTTCAAGCTCATATTGGTCTGATCAGCCATAGCTGGACACATTGTACCTCGACCCCAACATCATGATGTTATTTTGATCCTCTTGGAGTATGAAAGACATAAATTCTAAATTCTCTATCTTAGAGTCTAAGGTCCTTCATAGTCTGGCTCCAAGCTACCTTTCTAGCCTTATCTCATATTACTTTCTTCAATAGATTCTATGTTCAGCAAAATTTTTTCTACCAGCTGTTCCTTGAGCTCTATTCCATTTCCATCTTCATGCATTTGCACAAACCATCCTCTGTGCCCGAAATGTGTGCCCTTCTTATTTCCACCTTTCAGATTCTTTACCCATCTTCGAAGATCAACTCAGTTGACACTTCTTTCATGAAGCTTTTCTTCCTGCCCCTTATAGGGAGTCAGCATTGTATGGTGGAAAGAAAAGTAGATTAGGAGAAATTATGTATACCTCAGATGTAGTCTGGATAGCCAAGAACTCACAGACTACCAAGGTATAAATGACTGATAGGGACTACAGTTAGCTCTTTCAGAGGTATTCACATCTTAACAGGGCATAACATCTGAAGCAAAAGGAGTGAATTTATAATTGTGGAATTTTTGACATCAGTGAGATGGAATCATGGGGCAGGTAGGTGGCACAGTGAATACAGCAATGGGCTTGGAGTCAGGAAGACTCATCTTCTTGGGTTCAAATCTGGCCTCAGACATTTACTAGCTGTGTGACCCTGAACAAGTCACTTAACCCAGTTTGCCTCAGTTTCCTCATCTATTGAAAAGAAAATGACAAATCACTCAAGTATCTTTGCCAGGAAAACTCCAAGTGGTGTCACAAAGAGTTGGATGCAACTGAAAAATGGCTGAACAAGGGGCAGCTAGGTGATGCAGTGGATAGAGCACTGGCTCTGAAGGCAGGAGGACCTGAGTTCAAATCTAGCCTCAGACCAAACATTTGACACTTAATAGCTTTGTGACCCTGGGCAAGTCAACCCCAATTGCCAAAAAAAGAAAAAAAGACTGAACACCAACAAAGATGGAATCATAGGACCATAGAACTAAAACTCAAAGGGACCTTAGAGGTCATCTGGTCCAAGGCCATCATTTTGCAGAAGAGGAAAATGAGGCCCAAGAAGTTTAGGTGATTGCTTAATTGCCCAAGATCACAAAGGTAAGTAAATATAAAAGACAGATCATCTGACAAATTCCAGTTCTCTTCCCATTATGCCTCTTTCCTGTCCTCTTCTTTCTCCCTACCCTCCAATAACAAATCACACAGCCTATGTCTATTCTAACCACTGCTAAGGCTGACCCTGCTACTCATTCCTGCTATAATTCATAAAATCTAGATCTGGAAGGTATCTTAGAAATCATCTAATACAACCCTTAACTTTCCAGCTGAGGAAAGTAAGTCCTAGAGAGGGGAGACACCTTTCCAAAGTCCCACAGATAGTAGGGTAGCAACACCCGGATCCAAACCCAGTCCCTTTGCCTATAACTCTTATAGCATCATAGATTTAGAGCTCCTAGAAGGGACAGTCTAGTCTGACCCTCTCCTTTTACAGATGAGAACATGAGGCCAAGAGAAATCAAAGACTTGTCCAGGGTCATACAGCTAATTAGTGAATCTCTGAGGTAGGAGTTGGCCTTAGTTCTTCCTGATTCCAAGTCCAGCATTTTATCCATCCATGTCCGTGCTAGTGCTTTTCCTATACTCTCAGCACCAGTCTGCTTCTACAGTCCTTAGAAGCTATGTTGCCCTCTTTTGGTTTTCCCGTAGTGAGTTTCTTTTCTAAAGCTGTGATTTGTGTCTTCTTCCAGAAGCTACCGGGGTGAATGCAGAAGATACTGATCATCCCAAAGAAAAGTGAGTACTCTGACCACATAGCAAGTATCACAAAACATAAATAGCTTAGAAAGAGGAATAGGAGGTTGGAGGGCAGATAGGCCTAAGAAATGGCCTATTTCCATCTTGTCCTTCCTCCTTTTTCCTCTTGCATTCCCCATTTCTCCATGTCACCTCTGCCACCTTCCCATACACTTCTGGCCTCATCCCTGAGGACGTAAAAGAAAGAAAATAGTTTAGGTATGATCCTCATTCCATTCTTACTTTCATTTTCCCAGAGATGAAGCTTTAGAACCAGTGAACCATCAAATGTGCGAAAAGAGAGAAGACAGATGATGCGGTGTGTCCACAGCCATTGGAAGAGATTTTAAGAAGTTAAAAGAATTGTTCAGGGCAGTAGAGTTGGAGAGACTTGCCCTATAAAGAAAACTTGTCTGGGAGACTCGTGATTAAAAGGAATCATCCAATAGAAAATGGAGTCAAATTTATGAGAATACAAGCCATTCCCCAATTGATAAATGGTCAAAGGATATGAGCAGGCAGTTTTCAGATGAAGAAATCAAAGACATCTATAGACATATGAAGAAGTGATCTAAATGACCTTTGATTAGAGAAATGTAAATTAAAACAACTCTGAGGTACTACCTCACACTTATCAGATTGGCTAATGTGACAAAAGAAGGAAAATGATAAATGTTGGAGAGGATGTGGGGAAATTGGGATACTGATGTGCTGTTGGTGGAGCTGTTAACTGATCCAACCATTTTGGAGAGCAATTTGAAACTATGCCCAAAGGGCAACCAAATTGTGCATACCCTTTGATCCAACAATCCCACTACTAGGTCTGTATTCCAAAGAGATTGCAAAAAGGGAAAAGGACCCACATGTACAAAAATATTTATAACAGCCCTAATTGTGATGGCAAAATATTGGAAATTGAGGGGATGCCCATCAATTGGGGAATGGCTGAACAAGTTGTGGTATATGAATGTAATGGAATACTACTGTGCTATAAAAAATCATGAGCAAACAGACTTTAGAAAAACCTGAAAAGATTTGAACAAACTGATGTAAAGTGAAATGAGCAGAATCAGGAAAACATGGCACAGTATCAGGAACATCGGGTGATGATCAACTATGAATGATTCAGCTCTTCTCAGTAACATAATGATCAAAGAAGAATACAAGGACTTGGGAAAGAAAATGCTACCCATGTCCAAATACAGAACTGATGGATTCTGAATACAGATGAAAGCATATTTTTTTTACTTACTTTATTTTTTGTCATGGTTTTTTCCCCTTTTCATCTGCTTCTCCTTCCACAACTGTAACTAATATAGAAATGTGTTTTGCATGATAGCATATGGAAAAACTATATCAAACTGCCTACCATTTTCAGAAGAAGGCAGGGGAGGGAGGAAAGGAGAAGAAATTGGAACTCAAAATGTAAAAATGAATGCAAAAATGTTCTTGATATGTAATTGTGGGGAAAAAATGAAATACTATTTAAAGCAAAAAAAAAAAGAGAAAAAAAACATCGACCATCAGTTTATTGATTTCTGGCTAGTCTAATTAATGAATTGATTATTAATTACCCAGAAAAAGGAATTTACCATTCAAGTTTCAAATCAATAACTCACCCTTTGTCATCAATGAGTTTCCCTCTCCATGTATTTTGCCAGTATTATTTATTTTTACCTATGCTCCTTTAAAATATAATACTGCTGTCACTAAGCAACTGGGGGACTCAAGGCTATGTCTAAGTATTTCAGAAGGTCTCTTTTCTGCCACAGTTTTCCTACTAACATCTTGGCCAGAAGACCCAGAGACATAGTTCTCTCCCAGTAGTGATAATCAGTGCCCTGTGAACCACATCTGATAACTGGTTCCAATTCTTAGTAGAAAACATAAAACAGTGTTTAGTACCAACAGTACTTGAGTCAGGCTCCTGTTATATTTCAGTAGCCAGTGCTATAACCTGAAATGTGAGCCTTTTCCTACCACAACTTCTGAGAGCTGGCTGCTTGCTCCTAGTAATAATAATAGCATTTATGTAGTGCTTTAAGATTTGCAAAATCCTTTATAAATATTGTCACAACAACCCTAGGAGGTAGGTGCTATCATTATATCTGTTTTATGAATGGTAAAACTGATGCAGAGGTTAAGCATCTTGCCCAGGATCATAAACTAATAAGTATCTAAAGTGAATTTGAACCCAGGTTTTCCTGATTTCACATTTAGTACTCTAACCACTACACCATCTAGTTACCTATTAGTTGGAGAAGTCAACAATGATAGCCATCCTGAGGGGACAGAACCCACTTAACAACTGCCTAGTGAGAATGATTCATACAAATCAGACAGGACAGAGAAGAGCCAGATAATGACAACGTTAGGACTTTAGGAACCCAGAGTCAGAGAAAATAGAAGGAAATAAGAGATTTTGTTAGGGCAGGGTACCATGAGGTCTAGAGAAAGATTGAGCACGAGGACAAAAGAAGGTTCCTCATTTGATGAAATTCAGGGCCCAAAGCTGAATTCCCAAAGGTGGTTTCTGAGTGGAAGGATTGTATGATGAAGGGTGGGAGTGGGAAGCATCCTTAAAAACAAGTGTCAAACAGCTTGTTGGGATCTATGCACATATTAAATGGTAAGAATTCAACTAAGCAGGGCTGCAGGTGATGGGGAAGATGGTGACTGCATCCTATGCCCTTTGCTTTTGTGCTTATTCACATTCATTTGAATAGATGACACAATGCATTTTGGGACCACTAAAAAAAAAAACTATCCTGGATAAGACCGATATAGCCCTGTGGGGTTTCTGTGGCAGAGACCCCCTGAAAGGAGTTTAAGGAGAAACGATCTCCAAATAGAAGTTAAGCACTCTTACATGGATTCTTTTAACCTAAAGTCTAAGTGAGTTTCTTGATAGAAATGTTGCTGAGGTAAGGAATATTTTTCTGGAATGGAAACATTCATTCCAGTTGAGTTTTGAAGAAACATGCAGACCCATCTTTACAACTGGATGTGTGATGTGTCTTATCTAAAGGAACTGTAGCAGAAGAGTCTCTAGGCTTTAAGTAAAAAAGACAATGCCAGAGCCTATATCTACTTTTAGAAGGAAGAGGCAATACTTTAGCTAAGGACTCTAGCTGAAGTCACAAACGTCAGAGAGAAATACCATAACCTTGTGTCCAGTAGAGCCATGACTAGCAGTGACCAGTCTTCCCACTGATGCTTTATGTATTTGTGAGGAAGTGTGCCCCACATTAATGGAGGGGGAGTCTTATAGTTTATTGCTAATTTTCTTACTGTGCTATTTCATTAAGTATTAATCTTATCTTCTGTCCAACTAGTAAAAGCAAACACTTCCATGGAGGCTCATAAAATACAGTTTTGTGTAGCTATGAATCCACAGAGTACCTTGAATGTAGGGTAGCCTTATATATGTGAATTTAGGGAGGTGCCCTAAGTGCTATATAAGATTGGGTTCTAGGAGGGATTGAGGATCCCATCAGAAGGATGTAGTTCCAAACTATATCCGACTCAGGTTATTATTGTAATACTCCAGGAGAGGTGATAAGGATCTGAACTAGGTTGGTGGTGTAAGAGGAGAAAAAAGGGATAAATGCAAGAGAAGTTGTGAAAGTAGGATTGACAAGACTTGGAAATTGATGAGATATTGAGGTGAAGAAAAGTCAAGTTAGAATTCTGAGTTAGCATCCAAAAAGTTAAGAAACTCAGCAAAGATATTATCCATTTATGTTTTTATTGACCTTGCAGCAAGTATTTCTATGCTTTCATTTGTTTTGTTTTATTTTGTTTTGTTGGCTACCAATTGAACAGTCAAACTTTCCTACTAACTGTTCCACAAAAGTGACATTCCATCACTGATACCTTTGCACAAGTGATCTCAGTCCTCGGAATGTGCTCCCTAACTTCTCGCATATCAAAGCTCAAGTGCCATCTCCCATAGAAAGGATCCTTTTCTGCATCTTCTTATTAGTTCTCTCTTCCTTTCAAAATTACTTTGTACTTATCTATATATATGCGGTCTTTTCTTCCAGCCTTCTCTCCCACTCACCCACCCCAAGGAGAATATCAGTTTCCTTTAACTTCTGTTTTTGTCCATTTTGCCCACCACAGAGGCATATCTATATCTATCTATCTGTCTATGTATGTATGTATGTATGTATGTATGTATGTATGTATGTATGTATGTATCTATGTATCTATCTAATCTATCTTTCTATCTATATCTAGCTATATATACATATATAATAAGTGACTTATCTGCTTCAGTTGGAAAGCCACTTACATACTTGTCAGAGGAAGAATAGAATGCTTTCATATCTCAAAAAGTGCAGGTTGAGAGGAGAGTACTTCCCCATAGCCAGATGGGGGATTCCTACAGCCCAGGGAACTGGAGGCGGGAAGCCAGGACTATGCTGAGTGGGAACCTAGGAGGAAGAGAGTTGGTGCCAAATGGGGAAGCTGGAGCTCCTTCCTTCTAGAGCCATCCCTTTCCAAGTTGTGGCACTGATGGGATTGGAGATACCTGACAAGATACCGGTAAGATTTTTATTATGAACTTCAAACTGGGCAGTCAAAGAAACATGTGCTGTGGCCTCTGTTCCTCATTACACAACAAAGAGAACAGTTGGCAGAAGTTACCAAAGAGCATAGAAGGCAGGTGGTAGTGTAGTGGATAGAGTGTTGGTCCTGGAGTCAGGAAGATCTGAGTTCAAATCTAGTTTCAAATACCCACTCACTTAACATCTTTCTGCTTCAGTTTCCTCAGTTATAAAAAGGAAATAACACCTCACAGGGTTGTTGTAAAGATCTAATCAGGCAATATTTGTAAAAGTGCTTAGCCCAGTTCCTGATACAGCAGGTGTTTAATTCCCATATTCTTCCCCTCAAAAAGACCATGAACATGGGTCAGCAAAGATGCTGACAAAGTGCCAAGTCTTTTGATGAACCAAGGAATAAAGAAACAGAAGTACAGGTTGGACACAAGGAAGCAAGATGGACATGTTTATGGGATATTAGCTAGTTGGGTGTTGAGCTACACATTCTGGGAGGGATCAGGGGACTGGCTAGAATTCTGATTGCTTCACCAGCTAGTGGGAAAGGGGAAGGATCCACTAATCTTCTGAAAGAGAGCTGTGATAATAGGATATCTCACTTCCCAACTAAAGCTGAGGGAGGAAGAACTGAACTCTGGATTAGGCATGGCCCAACAGTTCTGGAAGCCAAGACAAGCAGAGGTTTTGCTAGCAGGAAGTCCCAATGGAGTAGGTAGTAGTAGCTGGCTGAGAGGAAAACAACAGGGCTTTGAGCCTGAAGTCCATCTCCCTCTCTGAGGAGGATTTTTGTCCCAAAGTGAAGAAAATTAAACTGGGAGAGACATTCAGATTCTGAGGGCTTTCCTAGTGGA